ATAGTGAGCAGGTGATGAAGGGTTAAGCTTTCTTTGTGCTGCTGTGCTCTGCAGCCCTGCAAGCTGTGATCTTTGGCTGCTTCAGCTGCTACCATGGTCAAACACAACATCTGCCCCTCACTCTAGACTGAGTTGGACACAATCCTGACTAATCCCAGGGAAGATTTGCAGCTGGTTTAGATCCTCCTGACATCTGGGAAAAGACATCTGGGCACTGCCTGCAAAACAGTGCTTGGAGCTAAGGTTCAGCGGGGGTGTTTCTCCTGGATGGATGGAGGAGTAAGTGGGAGAGACAAAAGAAAAAGCAGCCTGCAGATTAACAACAAAGTCATTTTAAGGTTTTTCTAGACAATATAAACCAGAGCTAAATGCATGTGGTCCCATCAGTCTGCCCTTTTTCCCCAGAACCTTGGGGACATCAAATGAAACAGCAAGTCATAGGTTTCAAAAGAAACGAGATGATGTACTTTCCTGTGAAACACAGAGTAAACCTGCAAAACTCCTTGCTGCAGGATGCTGCCAGTGCCAGAAGTTTCAAAAAAACAAACAGCCAAATTTATGGAGGAAAAATCAAGTGAGCAAAATTAAAGTTAGATGTACTGGCACTGGCTCAGTGCCACATGGATCAGGGTGGGCTGTAACACATTTTGGGGTAGTGTCACTATGTGCTTGTGTTATTCCCTGGCTCTACAACTGGCTGTCACCAGAAACAGCGGGCTGGGTTGGTGTTGTCTGGCCATTCCCATTTTCTGGTCCAGATGCAGAGATTGTGTCTTCGCTCAAACCAGGATCATGCAGCTGTGCCTGCTCTGCACACCTGCCCATACTTATAATAACTTATAATCAGAATGAGATGTTTCCCCTGAATACATCAGTTTTAGCTCAAGGATAAATTCAGGGCAGCCTGGGGGCCAGCTTTAGGGGATGCCAGGGCAGAGGATCACACACGACCCTGTGCTCACCAAACACAGGCATTGCACAGTGAGATCTTCCCTGAGAAACGTCTGAGAGAAGAGGAAACCAGGCTGCTGGTTTGCAAGGCTTGCAAGTCCTGGCAAGCGTTAACATTTGTTTTTGCCAGAAAGGGAAACAGGTATCATTTACTACCCACAGAGCACAAATCTCTGCTGAGTACGGAGGGGAGGTTGCTCGTCTGACTAACACCACCCAAAGGAGAGATATGACCAAGGTGTTAAGCATTTGCTCAGTACAGCAAGGACTGTTGCATGTGAGGACAATCTCTATGAACAATTAGAGGAGGCTGTCTACCTGCAGATTAAAACATCCCAGTTTGAGTTCAGTAACTGTCTATATACATGCCCCTTCTCACTTGATCCTGCTTTTGTAAAGGGCAAAAAATGAAGACTCACATATTTACTTAAGAACAGGCCAGTCACTAAGGACTGTCAGTACTGGAGTACCTTTAGCCTAGAGGAGATTGCAACATCTTGGATAAACCCAGGTCTTTCAGCTGAGATTAATGATCTGAAGAAACGGTATTTCCCCAGAAGTCAGGTAGAAAAAAATAGGTGAAAATAGAGTGAAAACTCTTTGGGACTTCCAGTGAAAAAAAGAATCTTAGGCAAAGGAGGAAAGGCAGTGATTATTGATTGAGTAAAAGGAGGGTTTATTTTGCCCATTGAACCAGTGCAGCAGATCATCTAAAGAAAAGAAGTAAGATATTTCATGTCTCAAAGAAAGGAAGGAAATCCAGAAAAGGAGATTTGATGCTCTTAGGGATGCCATAAAATTCTTCACAAATTCCAGAGCACTGAGAACACTGATGAGTGATGAAGGGGAAAAGCGGAGTTTCAGTGTTTATCTTGCTCTGTAAATTCCTCATGATGTCCACAGAAAGAGTTCTTGAGTTTTGAAATCTGTCACAAAACATGAGTATTAAGTATCAACCTCAAACTGTCCCTGGAAAACAAAATATAAATTGGGTGTTCATGAAGCTGGGACTTTGTGCAGGAGGTGTTTACATGGGTTGTCAGGGGTGTTCAATAGTCAAAGAGACACAAACAACTTGTCTTCAAGCTCTCACTTACACAAAGCAAGATGCAGGCACAGAACCTGTGCCTGGAAAGTGTGCACAAAGGCACAGGAAAGAGCCTGTGCTGCAGCCTGTGTGGACTATGGGAGGTCTAAGAGCACATGGGTGTATCTCAGTATTGCCTTTCATCGGCTTTGTTTGACCCAAGGCCACTCTGTCATGCATTCAACCAGTCACGGTGCCCAGTGAAGCACCCATTAGGAACAGAGGAGCAATGGGATGGCTGTACAGCCCCTGAGGAACACATCACCCACTTCCAGGCAGCTGTAGAGTATAATCTCACAGCACCCCTCACAGAATAAGTCTACCTTCAGTCTAAGCTCCGTGGCCTTCTGGAAGGGAAAGAAACTGAGGATGTGTGGTGTCCTACTGTATGTCCAAGCAGTCAGACTCGCACCATGGACAGATTTGGCACAAACTGACCCAAAGGTGCCACCAGGACACACCCTAAGCCCAGCTTTTCCCAAGTACAGGGTGGGCATGGATTGCAGTCCTTCCAAGAGCCAGCAGCGTGGTCGGCATTCTACATCATACAGCACATGCTTGCATGCCTGCTACATGCATCTCCTCAAGACCACTCTTGATGTCCCTCCCAGTGCAAGTGCAATGGGATTGTTGCCACCCAGGGCTCCTCCCTGTACTTTCCTAGAAGGTTCAGTAGAAAGCCCAAGTTCTTCCCACACGAAATGGCTCTGTTCCCCCTCCTGGCTGCTCGGAGCCTGTAGCCAAAGGATCTAAACCTAAAAGTGTCTTTGGAACTTGTACCCCTGTCCAGAGCTGACGTCTCATTGCAGGAGTCAGTGAGGAGCTGCCTGGTCTGTCTAGGGGGGTGGCAGGAGGGTCAGTAGAGGGCTGAGTCAGTTCAGCACACTGAAGCACCTGGGAACACTGCACATTCCTTTGTTGATGCACATTATCAGACTGATATGACTCCCCAGACATCAGTGATCAAATCCAGACACTCCTAACCCTGCTCTCAGGTTCGCATGGGTTTCTGCCCTGCCTTTTCATCAAGCAAGGAATTGTTCCTCCCAGGGACCAGCTCCAACAGCCAGTAGCATGCTCGTTTCTCTACTCTCTGTAGCAGAGTTCTTGATGAATATGCAGAGAGATGCATTTACTTTGTTATCTCTGCATTGCCAAAGAAAACTTTGCTGCTTTCCTCTTCTTCACTCCCAAAGCTGTAAAACTGGAGTCCACAGAGACCCAGGAAAACACCATTTCTTCAGCTGCAGCTTCACAGCTCCCTAATTCCTTCAAAAGTGAAAAAGGACATGACTGGAAAAGTTTGCTACCAGGTAACTAGGATGGATTTCATCACACCAGCGCTGCTGTCGGGACATTGGGGACCGGCAGCCGCAAGTGTTTTCGGCGCAAACCAGCCTTGCTTTGTCTCTGCCCGGTGTGGGGAGATTGCAGTTGCTTTTCTCCCCTTTGACCCCCCCCCCCCCCCCCCCCAGCATTGCGCAGGACTGGTCAGGTAATCACGGGGCTGTTTGTCTGTTTGCAAATCTCAGGAAGCAGCTCCAGCAAAATCTCCTAAGTCATCAGAATGCAGCAAACCACGGTGTCAAAACAATACAATCCCATCTCTACCTCCAGCAGGACCTTTATCAGTAATTATCACCTGTTTATCTCACAGCCTGGGATTACAGCAGGTCCAGGCTGAACGTCCCCTCCATCCAGCCCGTGGGGAAGGCAGGCAGCACCACCCAGACCATGCTGTGTGCTCCCAGGGCCCTCTGAAGGAGACAGTATTCCCTCACTCTGCCTATTCTGAGTCCAGATCTGTCAATATTCAAATATTCACGTAGGAGAAAGGGAAACTACAGTAACTGGACAAATACACGCCCGAGAAAGAGGACACTCCTTCCTGGTCTGTAATCCCCTTGTTCAATAACCTTCACTGGGCTCACTGAAGCATTCAAAAATCAAAACTTCTCTTTTAAGAGAGACCCGGTAAGCAAAGGTGTGCAGCATATCATCCTTTTTAAAATGGTAGATTCAAAAGTTTGGATTTATGGTCCTGGCAGCATTTGTACATGGTTGATGAGTGTTTGCTCAGCTGCCTCTTTGAAAGCCCTTTAAAATCATAGTACTGATAATTTCTGTGACTTCTCTATCGCTTCCTCTGCAGCAGCGTATTCCCACGTGTGCTGCGTGCCCAGGGAGCCGGGCAGCGAGTCTGCCAGGCGGGCAATGCCCCCCGCCACCCTTGCCTTGCAGTGGCGGCACTGGGGTGGGCTGGGGAAGGTGGGTCACGCAGACACCAGCAGCACGGGTGGGACTGGCACAGCCCGACCTCCACCTCTCCCGTCCGATGTGCTGGCTCAGGCAGGGTGTCTTCCCCGAAAAGGGAAGTTTATATAAACGACGGCAAGAGGCAGCAAGACCCAAGGAAGGTGAGTGTGGGTTCATGCTCTCAGGGCCCCCACCTCTAGAAGGGGGGGAGACCCACGAGCACAACCAGGGCACCCTTTGGAGGTGCCAAAACCTCCAAGAGCGCCAAAGCATCCCCTGGCACGCCCCGTGGGGGGACAGAAAGGACAGTCGCTTCTCCAGAGGGACCGAGAGGGGAGGGTGGGCTCCAGGGGCTGTGAGTGGGGGCGAAACCCTGAAGGAGGGGGGCCCCCCCCGGGGGCGGGGGGGGGGCGTCCTGGTGCCCCTCTCCCCCCGGCGATGTCGACATCACCCCCGACGCTGCGCCCCGGGAGGAAGGAAGGAAGGAGGGGGGGGGATGGACGGGCCAGCATCAGCCAGGGCTGCTCCCCCCGCTTCCCCGCGGAGGAAGGCGAGTGGGGGGCGAGGGG